ACCTGTAAAGCGCTTTGAATGGAGTGTCCAGAAAAGCGCTATATAAGTGTAAGCAATTATTATTATTATTATTATTATTATTATTATTAAAATGCTAGCTGTGTGTTTGTGGATATTTACGTTCATCCTCAGAAACGGCTTGATTTTATTTTTTCATTGAGGCTTTTCCCGTTCAAAACACTGCCATGATGCGCTGTATTGATTAAAGTTTAGAGCAGATCACACAATCTGACAAAGCGCTTGTAGTCTCCCTCCTGTGTGAAGGGACTGCAGGGGAATCTGTCGCTTGGTGAAGACCGTAGGGGGCGCAGAAGAAAACTCGCACAATTGCTTGGCAACCGTGAAGGAGCAGAAGATGTGCGTATCTGACCCCTGCACAACGTTGTTGGTCGCTTCTGACTAGAGTGAAAGTCATAGCCAGGATCTCCCCATCTTCCGAATTTCACTATTCGAACATCTTCCATAAAGTACTCTAAGTAACTGCAATTCCTATCAAACATCAAAGGGACAAAACATCGAAAAATTTCATCGAACACTGAAAACTCCGGGGGAGGCACAGTAGTTAGCTGCTGCCTCACAGCGCTGGGTGCTACCTGTGCGTTTGTCTCCATGTTTGAGTGAGTTTCCTCCAGATATCCTGGTGTCCTCCCACTGTCCAAGACTGTAGGTTAATTCCAGGAAAACTGGCCCAGGTGCAACTGTATATGTGTGCTCTGCAATGGACTGGCATCCCATAACAGGGTGTATCCCGTCCTGTGCCTCTTGCTTGCTGGAATAAGCTCCTGCTCCCTCATGACCCTGGATTGGATAAAGTGGTTACAAAATGGTTGGATGAAACCCTGTAATGGGTAATGGAGAGGTGGACTAAGCTGCATATAGCACCAGTTGAACAGGGTTAAAATCTTGAGTCTTCTGATCAAAGATGTAGTGCCACATGCTCCTCAAATCAAAAAATGTATTGCTTGCCAGGGCTATCTGCTTTGCAGGGAGCTCCCAAGACTCTTGACTGATGAATGCAGTTCACTGATTGGATTCTTTCTCTAAAGCTCAATATCAACCAACAGACAGTACCAGCTAGTGTTGCCTCCTTTGCATTTCAACAATTCGGGGCAGTTCTTGTAGAAACATCCTCAGCTGGGAGTCTATGTATAATTGAAGCAATATCAACTTTCTGTTTGGTCATAAAACAAAAAGCAATATTGATGGTGAGAATACAAGAAACACTTCTGACAGATACAAGGTTATCATTAACAAGTCTTTTCAAGTGCTGCAATGTCACAGTGTGGTGATGGAGACAAGTGATTTAGGAGCAGGTGCAACCAAACAACAAACTCAGCAAATCAAAAAGGGTGAGCAGTTTCTTTTAAAAGAAAACTACAGTTACTTTCTGAAGCAGAATATTTTCAAGAAATATGATTACACTGATGACAACCCAGTAAACAATGAAGTGCTTTGATCTCTGCATATGATTGGCCAGTGCATCCCCAATTAAAAAAAACTGGCAGTATTTATTTGAATGTGAAAACAAGATGAAACTAAGAGGTTTACAAACTGAGTGTAATAAGACAAGCATCATAATTTAGACTTTTATTTTTTCTCATTTCAGTAAACACCTTTTAATAACAGCATATCACTTAACAGAAATGCACAAGACATTAACATGCTTCTCAAATAACATCTACCAAAAGTAAAATTGTACACGCTCAGTACCAAAATATTTAATTACCAAAACAGTAATGAAACAATAAATAAACAGTAGTGAATGTTACACATCATTCTTTATCCCACTTGTTGTCCTTATTGATAAATAAAAATCTAAACTCCATGTTTACACATGTAAAAATAGCTTTGTACCATTCCAGGGTGTGTAATGGGGAGAATATTCAAATAAGTGTGTTACCATTAAATGGTAAGCCAGTGTTAGTGCATTCCCCTTTACAGGCAGGCGGTGTATTTTGAAAATTGAAACAATACTTGAGGCTGAAAACCATATAAATACAACATTTAAATAATAAAAGTAGGTTAAACAATATAATAATTCAACTATTAAGCTTTGCTTAGGCCCGAGATCATTTTAAGATCTTTTTTTTTAAGTCATTTGGAGTGAAATGTGTCCAATTGTGTTCTCAACGTCCTCATACATATACCTCTCCATACATGTATGCATTTAAGTAAAAGAAGACAAGCTGCATGTTCTGTGGTTGCATTTCATTCTTCATTTAAATTGTAGCTGACCATTGCTTATGTATAACATAAATCAGAAGTGCAGTCTTCAAAAGATCTCATTTCACACTCCTTAGGTAAGAATGTGGCGTCATCTCCTCCCTAAAGGGTTATGTTTATAATTGCTTCACCTTTTCAGTGAACTTGAAAATACATACAATTTTGGGGAGCACACGTACTGACGAGTATGCAACTACAGGCAACTTTTACGCCGTAGTTTTATAACACGTTAAATCCAAAGACAAAAAATAAAAACATGGCAAGCTTCCACCGGGCCCAAAGTTATATCGTGCCCAGATTTTAGTATAGTACCTAACAAAGCAGCAATGCCTCATCATCACTTGTTTCAGTTTTGACTGTGGCTTCCAAGCAGGCATCGGGAATCTGAGCTGTGTGGACCATGCCGCAATGTTCACAGGGTCCGTCTCTACTTGGGGGCCGAGCCCGAGGTGCTGTGGGCTGTACCGGCGCGCGCCCGTGCTCTGGTGTGGGTTCTAGCAGAGGCCTAGAACACTCACTCAAGTCACTGTCCGACGCCGCATCGGAGGCGGGAATCAGCAGCTCCACGTCGTCGTCATCTTCTCTCCCGCCGCTCGCGTGGTCGAGGTGTCGCAGGGGGCTCTGGCTCTGGCTGGCCGAGCTGGATCTGCCCAGCGAGAAACGGACCCAGCGGAGACTGCGGGTCACTCGGCTGAGGGCGCTGGAAAGCTGGTTTCTCCCCGGGGCGGCACACCGGGGCTCCGCCGTCCCGGCTTCCCTCGCGCTCTCCGCAGGATCCCTGCTCGCTTGCCGGCTCGAGCTCACCGAGACCGAGACGATGGCCTCCACCGCCGACACCGGCGCAACCTTCTGAGGTAGCGGGGCAACGAGACCCCCGACCGCACCCGGCATGTCGCGCCTGTCGCCTTCCGTGTCCGTGTCATCAGAATCGAGGGGGAGGAGCCCCCTCTGGGGGCCAATCCTTTCAGCCTCATGGGCCGTGCTGCTGTTGCCAGCACCTTCATCTGCAGACACCAAGGCCAGCGATCCCGAGCGGCGAGACCTTGTGAAGTTGAAGAGGCGTCTCCAGATGTTACTATTTCTCCCCGATGTTGGAAGCCGGATTGAAGTGAATCCAAGCTGGGAACGTACTGCTAGTCTAAGGTTTTCCAAAACGGATGCCTAGGAAAAAAAAAAACTTAATGGTAATACAGCCCTTTTATTGACAAACTTTTAAATGTTTAACTGAAAAGCTTTTTTGGGTGTTCAAACACGAGTGCTTTAAGTAGCACCTGACAGAACAGCATCTCAACAGAAAGGTGAGAAAGAACCAAAAAATAAACTATAGTCTAATAAGTTTTGGTTTGCATATGCATGTTTTCTGCCATACAATTTGCTCCCAGAAACAGCGCCTGTTCTTGTACTAACCTGATTTGCCGAACACACAGGGAAATCCTCTACTGGAGGTATCAAACCCTGAGCAATCAGCTGGCCATAAGATGGGGGTGCTTCCCTTCTCAGCAGCTCAGCCTCCACTCTGGACAACTGGGTCTCGAACGATCTAAAAGGAGATAAGTGCAAATCAGAAAGGACTTAGTCGAAAAAAAATGTGAAACCTAAAATAGAATCTAAGGATATTAAAAAAATCAGTCTTGCCATGGTACATAAGATTAGACAAATAATTCTCTAGGATTTCCCCCTAGATTGTTCCCTATAAGACTCAGCTCCAGTTGAAGTGTATTCATGACTAGGTTCATTTAAGTCCCTGATTAAATGTTTCTATATAGATCAAAGCAAAGAGTAAATCCAAACCAAAAATATAAAAAACACCCGCATACCATCTGTGAATGCTATATATTAAAATAACCATTCAAAATATTCTAATACATTCTAGGTCCATCAAGTAAACTTCAAGCAGAAGGAAAGTTTCCAAAGGATATATGCATAGGGGTCAAAAGATGATGTATGACAAAAAAAGTAAAACCAATCTTTTTTCCTGTGTGTACCTGCGTTCAAACATCCTTAAGGAATAAAGCTTGCAGGTGCAGCCAAGGGCTATGACCAGCAGCAGGCCGCAGATGAGGCTCCCAATGACGGCTGCCGTGATCACCCGAGTGGGGACAATCACCGGGCAGTTTTCCTCATCGCTGCTGTCCCCACAGTCGTCCTGCGCATCGCACACCCAGCTCTCAAACACGCAGCGGTTGTTCTTGCAGTGGAAGTTCCCCGGCTGGCAGAAAAAGCAGTTCTTCTCATCGGAGCCATTCGGGCACCGGTTCTGATAGTTGCAGCGGTCGGAGTGCGGGTAGCACGCGCCATTCCTGGAGCAGGGGAACTCGTCTTCCTGGCACGTGCTGCAGTTCACCTCGTCCCTTCCATTAGGGCAGTGCCAGTAGCCATCGCAGCGCTGCTGCTCCGTGTAGCAGCCCCAGTTCCCCCCACAAGGGATCTCCCAGGGCAAGCAGAAGCCATCCACCTGGTAGGTCACATTGAACCCGCGGGCCGCGTTGATCTTGTCCGCGTAGAAATGAACGCGGATCTGCCCCGACGAAGATACCACCGCTACCGGAGCCCTCGAATCGAACGCGGTCAAAACCCGCAGCAGGCGCCGAGGATTCTCCTCCAGCCCGTCGTACACTTTGACGTAGTCTCCGTAACCTGTGCCGTCGAGCTTGAAGTCCATGAAGCGCAAGATAACTTTCCGGTGGTCACCTGTGTCAATGAGCCAGGTGCAGTTGCTCCCAGGTGGGTAAAAGTCGGGGTAGTTGGGAGAGCTGAAGGTACCATAGAAGTTTCTAAGCAGCTCCCCGCAAGTGGGGACATCACAGTCAATCTCATCCCCCAAGTCCTGGCAGTCAATGCTGCCGTCACACTTCAAAGATTCTGGAAGGCAGGTGTATACTCTGGTGTAGCGAGAAAGACAAGGAAACTGGTTAAAGGCACAGGGCTGGAAGGAGAAGGCAGCTGAGGGGTTGGGTTGCAAGCACAGCTCTTCATCTGAGTTATCGCCACATTCGTCCATTGTGTTGCACTTCCAAGATTCAGGGATGCATTTTCCATTTGCGCAGTGAAACTGGTCGGAATCACAGCTGATCTCTTCCGATTTTCCTAAAATTGAAAACAGCGTAATTTATGGCCAGTCTCAATAGAACTATAAAAGACAGAGAAACTGCCAGTTGGCTCATACGGCAAATCAATGTATCGGACAACAACATGCGTGTCACAGACCAGACGTCCTTGTGAGACTAGTCTAGATCAGTCTGCTTTGGCCACTTCAAGTTAATGATTATTTTGAAAACTATCAACCATTATACTTGCTCAACAGATAGAGGAATTAAAAAAAATGTTGCAAAAAAATGGTTATTTACTTGCAATGCTACCAATACTGCTAAAAACATGAAAAAAATCAGAAAAACGGTGCCACTCGAGATATAACCAGTTGAGATCTACCTGTTATGTATGACAGCCTAAAACCTTTTCCGGTTTGGCTGTCGTCAGAATGAAACTTGATCCAGACGTGGTCCTGGGACGAGATGTATGGAGCTGGAATGGAGGACCCACAGGCCCGATAGCCATCAAGATTCTTGGACGTCCCTATAGAAATCCAGTCGGACCCACATCTGCGTGAGCTCTGGATCTCAAAATCCTGAAAACTAAATCCCATATGGTATTAATCAACACACCACTCTGAGGAGAAACAAATACAAGCTCGGGAGTTTTTAAACTGGGTGGTATATTCACTTTAAGGGGCTTGCAAAGAAAAAAAAACTGCAAGAAAATATTTTAAGCCTAACGACTGACAGATTAAAAACCAAGAGGTAAAATATGATCTTGGAAAGAAGTTTAACTGTGTGGATCTATTAGTATGGTTATAGATTTGTCTCATTCCTAGAATTGAATCTAAAATGTATACATGTGAAGGAACTACAGTATATATATATGAATACATATAAAACCTGTAAAAATCACAGTGATCTAAAGCAATAACTGGATTTTTATAAAATACTCAATTAGAAGAGAGATTCTTAGTCTCTTACACAAGATAAAAAGTTTTTCTTTTTCCTGGTCATTCACAATTACAACGTTAATATTTGTCAACTAGAGCAGTTACTGCATCATATCAGACTACCATCCAAAGGTATTTAGAGTCAACTTAGTTCCCCTTTTCAGACAAAATCACAAAGCAGATCTACAAATGCACTTTTTTTTACATGTATAATTGTCCATTTGGTATTCAGTGACAACAGTGTCAGACTAATAGCATTAGACTGATGATGAAAAAATACACATGATCAAATAGACATAGCAAGTTGTTATGGGAAAGACAACTTATTTTAAGAATATTTTAGCAAGAAACTCCTGAAAACAAACAAATACCTAATAGTGATGATCTCTCCTGGGTTAGCTCTGATGTTCCAACTGCAGTTGATTCTAGACGGATACTCAAAGGGCCAGCCGGGACTTGTGATAACACCACTTGATGCTCTGATCTGTTCGGCCACATCTCCGCACACTGCAATCAAAGAACACCATATCAAACAATCATGCGTATTTACAGCAAATGGCAGTCCTTTTACAGAAGTTCACTTTTATTTATTAACGATATAAAGGTAACCGGCTTCGGCTGAATTCTCCACTGACTACTAGGTCACAAAAAGCAGTATTAACTTACCCTTAGTGAAAACCACAAAATAAAATAATTAAAGTTTACTTTTGAGGTGCTAAAAAGACTAAAATAACCTCCTCCAAGAATAGCACAGAAAACCCAGCTCTCCTCTTAGTAAGCCAAGCAAGAAATGTGAAACCCTATAAAATAAGCAGGTGTTACAGCTTTTTTTCAAGAATATCTATTTCAACATACAGCCGGGGCCTAGGATAATTCCTGGAGGGCCTAGCGTCTTCTGGTTTCTGTTCTGCCAGAGCCAGTTGATCTGATTATTGAATGAACTGCATAATTGTAATACAGTACTTCTAGCAAGGCTCGGAAGCGTTTGACGTTTCACACGTAACCGTGCTTTTAATGATGTGAATGAATTGAGTAATCGACTGTAAAAGACTTTTTAAGAAAGCCAGGAAATGTCCAAGTATGAAGATAATTAGGCTTAGTGTTCGACTGCTGAATTTGGAACTCAAGTCAGAACACGCTCTCCTCCTCCCCATGAAATGAGTCTGAGACCCATGGCTCAGGGGAAAACGCAAAGCAGCAGGTTTATAAATCTTCTGCACTAGCCCAACAACCAGTCCACGCTTGCCAGTCGGCGTGTGATTCCAATAAAGAAAATGTTTACACCCGATTAATGTCAAAGTGGAATTTCACATACACCCACTGCCTGCTCATTGTGAGCCTAAGCATTACTCTATTGGGACCATTCTGCAAAGAAATGTCTGGGAAAAATAAAGTTTCCCCCCAAACCTCTGACAAACAGAGGCATCCTGCATGAATGGTTGTAATTTTTCCCCCTCACTGTTAAGAAAGACCATGCTCATTGGCAATTGTCAAATTTGAACTGGCAGCATAGCGAGTTAATAGACTGACAATTTCTATCAGTCTGTATGACAACTTAACATACAGATTACAGTTAAAGTACAGATTGTCTACCATGCTGGTCATGGCTTGGTAATTATTTCTGTCCATACATGTTTGATATAATCTCGCAGACATTTAAGCATTGTCTGGATTGAATTAGTCTTGAGGATCTTGTTAATCCAATGAAATAAAACTGTGATTTTGACAAATGTCTGTTTTATGCTGTTTGATAGATGGCACTTTAGCAAGGGTTCCTGATAGTTTATGAAGGCAGCCAGCTCCTCCCTGGTATTGAGAAACACTTGCAGTCTGAACATACTGTCTCAGCTGAAAGGTTTACTCAGGTTTATGTCAATCCATCATTGTTTGTATTATTACGTTTGCCCTCCTGAACCTTAACCCTACAGCAAACAATTCATTCAACTTAAAAATGAGAAGCACTCCATGAAATACAAACTGATGGACTGACACCAACAAGAGCTCTTGTGAAGGTGAAGAAATAGCCATGGGTAGAACTAAAATTGCATACTTGTAACACAGGCAATCGTAACAAAATAAAAACGTTTATTGGAAACATGAGTGGCATATAATACAGCAGATTGAAAACTACTGGCAGCTTTAGAAATGTAACAAAATCATACAAAATGGATAACCAATTTTTTTTTTTTTAATTTTAGGTCTCTTTTAAATTTAGCCAGCTCCTATATCACCCTGTAACTCAAAACTGGCAGCTCACTGAAGCTCCGCAGGTGTAAGCCTGGCCAGTACCTGGATGGGAGACCTCCTGGGAAAAACTATTGCCCCTGGAAGGTGTTAGTGGGACCAGTAGGGAACACTCACAATATAACAGTTTAAAAATCAAACCGTATTTTGAACTATAATTTTAAAACAGGAAATATGCTCATGCATTTAGTTAAAAACTACCTTTTCAGGGTTTCTGTAGTTAATAATGTGCATATTAGGTGTAATGCAAATGTGTTTTTCTATTCAAATCACTTTATGTAATAGCTATCAGAACTCAATATTACCATGTGAAACATCACATGACATTTACAAGCCCCAAGAACATAACTAGAAATTACTTACCATTTGAAATACCAGGAACATATACATTTTCATTGTGATCCGCATGAACTGCATTTCCTAAATAAGACAAAAAAAAGAATTTCAATGCTTCCTAATGAAAGTCTGGATTAGAGTTGGAGTTTTAATCAGCCATGCATCCTATTAATAAAGCAAAAATGTGATTAACTTTGCAACGTGATTTCTGTGAAGCAATATCAAGCAATAAAAACAATTCACCTATACATTAATCCAAGCAGAAAAAAATTACAATGTTTTTTTACAATGTTTATATATTATATACGAAGCAAAAAATCTAAATGCAGATTATTTCTGGAATATAACTTTTGGAATCCTAATAACATTCAAAGACAATTCCTGACAGAAAAGATAGACTGGTATTCTGGGTAAAATGAGAAAACTGCTAGGTGAGAGGTCCTTAGATATTCCAGATAAACCAAAAAAGTACATCTGCAGATTTACAGGCCTCACATTTCGCTCATAAGGAACAGATTGTTGCTGAAAGAAGGTAAATGCTAACTAGCGTCATTTGGACAACTGCCGGCTTACAATCTGGCAATCACAAATGGCAGGAAGGTATTATATAAATGCAAATTTTAAAAAGATATTGGCATGAAAGACTAAGAATTCCAGGAATACAATATTCTATGAAATCTGTAGACAAAATCATTAATTTACTGAATGTCTATGTAAAAACCCACACCCTGTCATCAACTATCCAATCATCATGTTAAAGCAGAACCCCGAATTATTTCAAGGAACACCTGAATGAGACCCTCTGAATCACTATAGAAGAATATGCTATCGAACAGATGACCTAGATGGGCCAAACAGCCTCACATTTGGAAACCTTATGTTCTCAATATATAACACTAACTCATAAGAAAAAAAAGCTGTTAAGATGAAGAATGAAGTGCTTTATAGCTAGAAAATCTATCATCTTATCCCTAGCTTATGTTTATTACACTACAGGATAGCACTAAAGTGCTTCAGAAATATAATTAGGGTGGGTTTTCAATGGTAGTTTTTATAGAAAATCATAGATAAGGATGGTCAAAAAACTAGCCTGTTAAGCAGAAAAAAAACGCAAATTAAATCTAAGTTTCTTTGTGAAAAATATTCAGCCTTTTTGCACCATTGAACTCAAATGCGCATAAAACTTTTTCCTCTGCTTGCTTAAAATACATGGTACTAGTGGTTCTACAAAACAGATTTTTAAAACCATTCCCTCACCAGTCGGTTAATAAGTTTGTGGCAAGTTACACTGAGGATTTCTAGAGCTGTTTTTATCTCTTACCCGGACTGGAAATGTTCTGGTTTATATTACAAATCTGACATGGACTTGTGGCAAATTACAGTACTATGAGCAAGTTTCTGATGGCTCCTGTGTTCTATCCTTGGAACAAGACAAACCTGTACCCTGTCAAATACACATGCTAAATACACCAAGATTAACAAGGCAATATACAAAACACTTTGTGAAGTTCCTCCATCACATCTAAAAAGGAACAGCTCAACTCACGACTACCTGAAGCTTGCTTTTTTAACCTATAGGAGAAAACCCTTGTCAATTTTTAAAAAGGAATAGCTCTGTATTCTTCGGGGATAGCAATGATCATATAGAGCCTACGTGCGTCTAGATTAGATACTGACACTGACATATTGAACATACAGAGCCAGAAGTGCATACAATAAAGAATTTTACGACAACGTCAGCATCAAAGAAGAAAAACAGCACTGAATATCTTCATTCCTGAAAGCAGCGACCCTGAGATACTGCTGACATAGTTTGTGCAATGGCAATCAAAAAATGTGACAGACCAAATCTTAGGTTTGCAACATCACTCATGGAAGTCTTGGGGAGTTTGACATTTGCTTAAAAAAAAAAACAATTTCCCTAAAGAAAACATAGGGATTAAGGTTGATATAATACAGAAAAATGGATTACCGAAGCGACACTTAGGTTTTAATTATAAAAGCAACGAACAGTTTCAAATGCTTTTGACAGCTACAATGCAACAAGATTGAACATTTCAGCTCCTTTCGGCTTTTGAATAAAGAAACGTAAAAATCAAAAGCAGAGAATGTCAGAGCTAATCCTACTAAAATTGATTTTACTAAAGAGTTTTGAAACATTTTTAGGAAATGGGAAATTACACACTATTACCCCCCCCCCCCATGTAAAAAATAGCAAAATCACTTCAAGAGCTTCTAGCAAGCATGCACCTTTTACATTAGGACACTAAATCCAAAAAAACTCCAATCTAACTGAATTAAATCAAAAGCAACTAAACAATATCAAATAAAATAACTAAGGTTTAGGGGAATTTTATCTGCATTCTTTGTGTATTAGACATTTGCATCGGTAGGGGAATCCTGCACGTACAGTAACATAAGGTACTTTCTTCTGTGAAAAGTGAAACTGAAACTTCCCCAACTGTGAAACCCCAGAACACGGCTCCAAGCTGAGTTTGACTCGTCTGTCCATGTCAGCAAAAAAACAACAACAACCTTAACTGAAAAAAACAAAAAACAAATGTTAGCTCCACTACAGGAACTTGACCTGTATAAAATAAGATGTTTCTATACCAACATTCATACACACCTTGCTAAATACAGTACATGAACTGTTAAATATTTTTATTTACTGTAATTATCCAGATAGTTCCTCCAAGATCTGCTCAGAGAAACTGTTCACTGAGTGATCACTCAGGTGTTCCCTACTGGGGTCCTACAACCATGTCACTGACTAAGATTTTAAGTCACATTTGCTTACTGTCAGCAGATGAAGCTCCTGGACTACAGAAATGAAGGGTGAATGGATGAATCCTGATCGTCCCAGCAACCAGATTTTCCAAAGTGCATTCTCTATCACATTGAAAGGCTGTAGTGTTGTGGTATGATTAAAACCAGTGAACCCAAGCGCCTTTTATATATACAACCTCACAAGCACAGCGATGTGGTACATTTGGTCATTTCATACACGTAAGGTAACTCTGCCTTAAATAAAGCATAGCAGCACACATAACACAGCCCTTACAATCCAATACCAAAATATCACAACCAGAGAACAATAAAAAAAGACTCGCACAGTAAGAAGCAATATCTTCAAATCACAGAATTAAATGACATAAGATAAGATCACTTTATTGGCCATATACAATTTCTTGTATAAGGAATTTGTGTTTTCGCATAGCCCCAACTTGCTCTCCATGAGACAGACAGATGGGGAGAGAGAAGCTTGGGGTCAGAGCGAAGGGTCAGCCATTTATACAGCGCCCCCGGAGCAGTTGGGGTTAAGGGCCTTGCTCAGGGGCCCAACAGAGTATTTGTTTTTGAACCGGCAACCTTCTAGCCACAGGCGCAGATCCTAAGCCACAGAGCCAGCACTCTGCCCAAAATTAAATTTTGATTAGTTACATTAAAACTCTGAAAATTGAACATCAACAAACGACATACCTACACAAGTCAAGAGCATTTTCCCCACGGTCTTTTGTCACCTATAAAGAATAAATAATGCAAAGGCCATAACTGGCTAAAGCTTCAAGAAGCCTGCCAAGGCTTCTTTTAGCAGAAAGCCAACGCTGATAACAGAAGCTATAATACATTTTAATATCAAACAAAATCATGCAAGTAATGTATAAAATATTCTTAACATAGCCATTTCTGTCTGGTCAATTATGTACTGTATAGCACTTAAGACTGTGCATGTGCCTATAAATACCAGTTTTCCAAATAAGAATTAGTATAAAGATATCCAATTTAATGTCAAATAATTAATAAAAGCCACATATAATGAATTACTACTTGAATAAATCATAGCCAGATTATCCAGTGCAGGATTCCAATTGTTTAAAGAGGATTTACATGGTAATGTGCGATTGTTCCTTCTACAATCAGAGGAAATCTACTTTGTAGATTTACTAACAAAACATTTCAGTTCCATTTTTTACCAAATTCAATTACAGATATGATATAATTATATATTGTAGAGGTATCTTGATGGCATACCCTTTGTGTACAGAAGTGATTCAAGTTCTTGTTTTTAAATGCACTTCCATGTAGTTTCCACTTGTGTCCTCTGGTTCATGTCACACTGCTATTACTTGACTTCACAACCAGATATTTACACTAATCTTGAGGTTGATAACCATCATACAGTACAAGTAAAAAGTCATAGTACAGCACCTTAAGTAAAATAATCCCAAATGGACTACAGTTAGTCTTATTATTAATATACACAAACAACCAAAAGCAGATACAACCCTCTTAATGTCGAAATTCTGGATACTTTAATTCATGCTTTGGGAATTTTTTACTTTTTTGTTGTTCCTAGAGACAATACTCAGTAAGGCTTTTTTTTCTGCCATTAAACTATACTGAATGTCTTGGCCTTTAAAAGCTATAAATGTGGCTTTTAAGACGGCAACAGCACAACTCTGCTACTTTTATATTCAGATGTATTTGAAAAAAAGATTATGCAGTAAACAAAAAAATATGCAGAACAATGAGGGCGAAAGTTCTCTTCTCAATACAAAAGGCACACTCCACTTACACAATCATTTAATTGTGACAGATGATAAAGGGTACTTGTCAAATATTTTTATCTTATTGTTTCACCCCACACGACAGAGGGCAACAGTGAAAGCCGTGTTGCCATGCAGAGAGCACAAAAGAACCCCCCCCCCAAAATAAATCAACCTCCTCATCAATTTAATACTAGTGGGGGGACTGCAAATGCTTGAAACATCAAAATCACGAGGTAAACAACATCTGCCACTTCATGGGATGAAGCTCATTTTCCCTAATCTGATCACCATGACCAGAGAAACAGTATTTCTATATTTTTAGTATAGACGTTTTTAAATAAAAAAAAACAGATAGGTCACGTGATAAAAGTCCCATCGTAGATCTCCTACCGATGTTGTTAAATTTACAAAGGCTTACAAAAAAAAAACATTTTTAGGTCATTAAGGCTATAGCATGGCTAGCAAAATTACCAGAAGCTCTGTTTTGTCAAAAGAAATGAAAACCAATATCGTTTTGGGAGTGTATAACACTTGCAGGATGATTGAAATGCTTGCAATATAACAATGTGCTCTCAGGCTAGAGTGGTTCTTTCAGTACTTCAGAGATTCACACTGGATGTTTAGACCTAGCTGAGCAAAATGTAATTGTATGTTAATTTGCATGGAAGGGAAAACCACACAAATTTCATTGTAAAAAAGATTACCTTGGCAGTGGTAACGACTGGCAAGTTCATAAACAGCAGCTGTGGGACTGGGAACGTTTATTGCAATCTGGGTGTATCGCTATTACACCCGGAGTTGGACAGAAGTTTCAAAAAACTTAAAGGCAAGTAATTACATTAAGTTTTAACTGAGCAATTGTGCTGTGGCATTTTCATTGTATTTGCAATTATTTAAATAGTTGATGGCTTAGCTTACTTAGTTCTCCCTCAGCTGAAGAAAAGAACCAACACGCCAATTTGGCACTTTTATGGTTTCTTTGCTATTGTATTTAACTGTTTTTGTTAATTAACATTATGTGTGCCAGATGACAGGAAAAAGATGCTTACAGTCTTAAATTACAAGTGTCTGCATTTAGTATCATGCAAACATTTATGTAACCTGCAAAAATGTGGACTGGGCTTAAATCGTGTTTTATTAATGTATGTCAGGTTAACTGTTCTCCCATAATCAACATTAACAAATTTGTACTGACCAATGCCACCAGATACATGCATATCTGGTTTCACTGCAATCGGAAACAAGTGCTCTTCCACATTATTTCTTCGCTAGATTCAACACAAGTAATTCATTAAAACAGGTATTTGTAAATCTTACAGTAACTACATAAGGCTCAAATGTTGATCAGAAACTTTTACGATCAAAACGTAACCCGATACAGCTCTACAAGTAACATCAAGAACAAATGCACATATACAACTATTGTAGTTGGTCTTCAATGTGAAACAAAATAGTGTCCCTGACATTTTTCAATTCAATGTGGCTTTAAATGACATAAACCACCTCATCATTGGCTTAATGGGACCAATCAGGGTGTGCAGGCATTAGAACACATTTTATATAAAGATGAATAGATGGGCAATAGCACAGACTGGAAAAAGATAATTGGTGCATGTACAGTAGGTTAGGTACAGGGGAGCCATTGCTCGAGATGATGGTGATGTTTTAAGTCAGAATAACGCAGGCCATGCTGCACAGTGGCACAGCAGTTTGCATTGCTACCTTGCAGAGCTAGGGCTCTGGGTTCAATTCCTGGGGTGCTATCCGCATGGAGCTTGTATGCGTTCAGATGGGTTTCAGACCCCGTTTTCCTCCCACAGTCTAAAGACACGCTGGTGGGATAACTGGCTTCTTGGAAAATTGTCCCAGGTACGCGCGTGCATGTGTGTTTGTGCCTGTGTGACCTCTGCAACAGACTGGCATGCCATCCAGGAAGTGTCCTGCCTTGCGCCTGTTGCTTGCTGGGATAGGCTCCAACTTCCGCTGCACAGGATAAAGTGGTTTGAAAATGGACGGATGGATAAAACAGGACAGAGAAGCAGCGATGAGACCACAACACACACACATCTCGCCTGGCACTTCATTCATTTAAGTTTCGGGTTACAGCACCAGAGGATGCAAACAAAGCTCTTGTTCTGATCACCTCAACATAAGAGCTTCCCCACTTCGAAACCCATTTGAAAACCAATGTGAATGATCTCCATCTTTCAGGGCAAGAGTCTCAGACTCAGCACCTGGAGGTCTTTCCAGAATCGCTTTTCCCCAACCCACGTTAGTCAGTTCAGCAGTTCACCTAATTATTTTCTTAGTTGGATGCAATTAGGTTTTCACTTCAGGTCTTTTGAACATGATTATTCCAAGCCTTCACCAATTTAAAAAGTACAGTTGACCACAAAGCACCTAAAAGCCTAGTCTGAAGTATTGAGATCCCACAGTTAATTTAATGAAGAGATCAACAATGTAATAGAGGCAGAGTGGCAGAGATTCAATACCATGCAGTTACTGAGATTTTTTAAAGATGGAGCAGCAGATGCAAAGTGAGTCAAAGATTTCCATTACATAAACACCTACATCACTGTTAACGAGAAACCAAAGAGGGAAGAGGCTAAAAAGCTTTAAAGCAAGAATGAGCACATCAGTGGGGAAAAAAAAAAACTACATTCCGAAAGTGTTTCGACATCTCTTACAGATTCAGAAAAGCTGTAAAGTCTTTTGTGTATTTTTTTAGAAAGAAAACAAAAACTGAGTTTACTGTACAGACTTGCTAAAACTGTCATTTGGGCATTTAAACAAAACCTTAACACTTTAACAGACCAATGGGAACAAAGAAGTGAGCTTTGTAGTTCCTCTTCATCAGGCGGTGAAAAGTCATCTCTAGCACCACAGGACATGCTCAGAACAGACAGCGCTACAGTGTGTTCAAATAGGAACAATCAACGTTTATGGCATCATAAAATATATGCCTCTAACAACAGTCTCCCAGCACATTAAGATTTGAACAATGACATTTTTAAATCATTATACAAAATGTTAATTTAAAAAGTAGGAGTCAACGGAGAAGAGCCGTAACTTGACTCAGAATCAGCTTTGAACGCTTGTCTCAGACGGCTTTGAACAAAAACCTGAATTTCACAAAGTATTTAACCTAAGCATTATTAGTCCGTACAGCAAACACTTCAGGTTAGTGTGTTACATTTCAAGTGAGTCTAAAACGATACAAAGTGGGTTCCTGTAACCACGAAGGTACACAAACCCAGTTTAACATTTAACGATCCTTTGTTATGGAAATCTCTCCTAAAGCCCAGAGGATTTCAGGGCGCAATGCATATTATAACAACTCCCCATGAAGGGCTCTTTTTCAGAATTGTTTTCTGAAACTAAGACGATACCACCGCAGTTTCAGTGTTTTCATAATGGATGGTTTTCATCCGGTTCACATCCATTTATATTTTAATAAGTTATTTGCTGTCATACAAATGTTTTATCCGAGCAACGTGTAAGCGGTATCCTACCTATTGTTACGGGGAACATGGTTTAAGATACGAACAAAGAACCGATACTGGTTGCTCTATTTCGTCTTGTAAAGTAACTGCTGTTAATACAGACCTTATATACAAAATATATTATATATAAAGTGTAACTGTGAAAGATACTCACCGATGACGCTGCAGCCGACGAGCAAGCAAACGTATCTCCATAATATCCTATGTGAGCCCAAACTGTAGGCCATAATAGCAACAGATGAAAATTAAAAACGCTTTGTACCTATTCTGTTGTAAGGGGATCGTGTCTCTGTCTTTCCAATACAAATATTCTTTTGTATACATAAAAAAAAAAACTTATGACAACGTGTAACTGTGGTCCGTCCGTCAAGTCAGAACAATGGACAGAAACGGCCTCTGCTCAACTGCCGGCGATGCGCTCTTATCTAAAATCTAGCAGCACATTATCGGGGTTTCGTGATGACATACCATATTGCTCTGGTAAGCCTGTCACGCAAATTCACAAGTTCTCACTTTTGCTCAGAATCTCCGCCCCAGGAATCCGAAAAGCGTGTCACGTCTCAACTCAAAAGAAGTCTACGGGATGTTCCGGACTGTGATAAAAACAACAGAGCAAGCCCCAGATGTGGCATTAACGCTGATCGTGTCCCAACTAGATCTACTCTACGCCTACAGCCGCTAACTACTCTACCTATAAATGCCCATGAAGAAGCACCGATTTACCACGGGCACTCGGAGGTTCCGCCGCCTTGTCATTCATTCTAGAGCGCCGGTGGAAGACAAAGACCGAGCCCCCGTGCTCTCTCCTCCTTCCTTTGTGCTATTCCACAGCTCCGCGTTTCGCCTTCATGGCAAAGCGAGAGAAGAAGAAAAAAAAAAACTCTCTCCCTAACGATTACTCCTGAAACAGGCACAGGTCTTGTCGGGAACCGTATGCCCTTTTCTCAATCCTCAGGGGGGAAAAAATAAAAAAAACCTAAACAAACTGCTCTCGTCTTTCCTCTTTTTTCCCCTCTCCCCCCCCTACCCCCGAGACGCCTACACAGTCTCAGAGGCTACTAGTAACTACCATCAGCAAGCCCATACAATGAAATAAAAACTCACGAAGATGCCAGTAAATAACTAATACTGTCGTACTAACAATGTCGCCGATTCCGCTTTGAAGAGCTCGCAAGCTTTAGTAAAAAAAAAACACCTTTCTTTACAGGCGAATAATTTTGTAATTTTAAAAAAATTAAAAAAGCAACACACACACACAGCCCAATACCATTAAGGGCCCGAACAGCTGAATCTACAGCTACGTCGGCGTATGTTATTACAGCCGGGTCCCGACAGCCCCCTGCCTCCTTCTCCTTTTCCCCTCATTCACCAGGGGTGAAAGGTTGCGCTACGTCAGAGGAACACGTGGGTAGACATGCTTGTTTGGGTTTGCTGTGTAATAAGAACTGCGTCTCTTCTAAATATAACGCCGCATCGTGTAATTAATGTCATTATCCGAGCTTTTAGAGAACACTTTGGAAGGTGGCCGACCCCTTGGCATCGATGTGCGCTTGTCTCTCTGCTCGGAGAGATGGCAACGCACACGGCGTTATATAACGCCCGTGTTTGGACGTTTATGTAACACAAATGTGTTTCCTGAAAATAACAACAAAAGAAAATGTTTTTTTTTCCGTACATTTTACTTTGTGGTTTTTTTTTTCCACTTTTAAAACCAGCAAGTAACCTCAACAGAATTTTATAATTTGAGGGATTAGTCTGATTTTCAATCACCATGTCAGGAAGAAAGAATACGAAATAATTCATTTTAACATAAGCGATACTTAAAACACGCCTAAGATTTACCTCGTTAAATGAAACGTGTTAGAAAGTTCATGGCAATGTTTAATTGATATTGCATTCCTTGTCTCAGTTTTTTAAATTATTGATTGTCTTAAAACATTCTTTTTTAGTTTTAATTCATCATGTTACCGTGAGTACAGCTATACTTAGCACTGAAGAACACAGTAAATCAAATCAGTAAAATATTTTAGGAATAGTGCAAAGATATTAGGACTGAATTCATACCTTGAAAGCTTAGGATTCAAATGCCAGGCACTGTGCACATCCTTTATCAAGTTAGCTAAGTCAAATTGCTTTTGAGTTTAATACTCTGTTGTTTTAAAATGGTACACGTGTAAGATGCTTTGGACAAAAGACATAACCGAATGAATATTTAAAATAAAAGTACTGCCTAACGAGAATCTCATCCAGTTAGTTCTTCTGTAAGTGTACATGATTACCATGATTACCATTATAGCATGTCACAGTTTTTACCTCGGGGGCTGGGAGGCATTGTGTAAATTATTGCGTTCATTGTTTCTCGTTCTGTATCTTATCTTCGTTTCAACTGTGATAACGCCATAGTTTAGGGTTAAAAGATGTAATACTTGATCAAAGTTCTGTTTCATTGTTAAAAAAACAACAATATTTGCAGTTCTTCATGTGCAATTACTATGAACTGGAGCCAATCTGCAGAGTTCTTCATCTTCATTGTGACACCCCCCACCCTTAAAATCAAGGATCTGGAATGACACAAAACACATTAAAGTGTTAGAGTGACAAATTGTAGTTTTCAGTGCTTTGCCCCCAAGTCAATGTGCTGTGTAATTTACTAAAATGAACCAAAGCTATTTCTAGAGGGATAGCAGAAGGATGAGAGGCACACTGGCACAGTGGTTAGCATTGCTGAATTGCAGCTCTGGTGCGCTCTGTTTAATTCTGGACCTGGGGTGCTGTCTGCATGGCGTTTGTATGCTCTCCCTGTGTTCCTCTGAGTTTCTTCCAGGTGCTCCGTTTTCCTCCCACAGTCCGAAGACATACCTTTTTTTCCCTTAAAAAAAATATTTTATTCCACAATAGACATCTAACAATGAGAACACACTCTAGCAAATCGTGCAATGTCTACTATATTACAAAAAGGTGATTGTCCTTTGTCCGTCCAAGCAAGTGGTTGCTGGGGCTGGATTTGCAAATGAAAGTCTCTCCAAGACCTACCACCTGCTGTTGTCCCTGCCTTTTCCCTTTGAAAATTAGCCCTGGTGTGAATTTGTCTGTGTCTTCAATGGACTGGCGTCCCCTCCAGGGTGTATCCTGCCTTGCACCAGCTGCTTGCCAGGATAGGCTCCGGCTCCCCTATGACTCAAAATTGGATAAAGCAGCTAAGAAAATGGATGGATGGGAGTAAAGGGATGTTAAATAGACTGATGTCATATATCTCTTTTCGAATTAAAATGTTTCTATACACTTTTTTAAATTAAAAAACTATTAACATATTTTCTGTGTCGATGAGTTTTCACTCTTGTTTTTAGTGGTTCCTTGAGTCTTTGGGATAGTTTTAAGAGAAGACTGGATGAAATCATATGAACAATCTGTTGATATCAGCCAAGTCAATAACAGGAAAAATGTAACCTTCCTCATGTTTGTGAGCCCAGGTTAGTGCTTTCTTGAATGGATTAAATACATTGCAGAACATGTGATACTACAGTATCACGACCAATGACTAAGATTGAAAATACTAATCTAACGTTTGGCCTTAAACCAAACTATGTATGCCAGATTTTCTTTCCTTACAAGGCTCTACTCATTTTATCCTGACCTTAGGTTTTCTTTTTAATTTAACACAGACTGACCCCACTATGCATTTCAAAAATGTAAATAATTCCTTGTTTCCTTTAAGTGAATGACCAAAAGACAGCTGGTGCAGAACTCAGTGCTTTTACTACTAAAGACCATCTGTCTTTATCCTAGCAGCTATTGTTGAGCTATTGATTGTTATTATTGAAGCTTACTTCAGAATAATCCACTAAAGCTGTTTTCCAAATAGCAGGACATTCATTCTTTTATTTTAAAGTCAGGGTGATAGTGTACACTTTTGCACGTAGGGATCCAATAGATTATTTTGTTCTTTGTTCCTGGCACAATACATTGATACAGATTCCCTTAACCTTGCATTTAAACAACACCTAAGCAGTGTTTTTCTTTTATAAATGTGCACGCATACCTGGGTTTTTGCAAATCTCAGTAAAAAGCAATGATTCCAGTGTTAAACTAAGTATGTGATACAGCTAAACGTTGAGATGACCCCTCAAAAGGCTTTTGAAACACCTAGGTGCTTATAAAATGACTGAATATGATATTCTTAGAGTGGTCATGATTTTTGTGCTGATGCTCATATGCTTTGACACGTTGTTGATGAGAACTGCTGCTATATGCAAAAAGTATTAAAAGGTCTTCACATAACACTGAATGATTAGACCATAAATTATGGATTGTGAAACATTGTTCAGGGGTGCTACTTTTGCTGGTTTGCTACTGTATATCCATACTCTCAGATTCATATAAAGAAACCCCGTAAAATAATTATTAGTGAAATCTTTAGCTAACATTTTTTCTAGCCTAGTTCAATACCCCTTTTTACTGCTCAAATACTGTATCTTCCTCCGTAAGACACTGCTCCGTTTTGTTGTCTATTACTATACATCCAATTCTCAAACAGAGAAATGTCAGGTATCCAGCCAAAAATTACACCAGACTAATCTTTTCTATGGCTTTTGATTGATCTGAGCCTTCTGTCTCCAGAAAACATCATTCATGCTAAAAAGAGATTGCTATAATCTGTTTTTCTTCTTGCCTCAGCCCCCTTTTTCAGAAGAAATGTCTTTCCCAGCTGTGAAATAAAATAAAACTAAATGCATTCATATGGGGCTGTGATCCTTACCTGAAAAGGCAGACTGGAAATGGATAATTGGATGGACATACCTATGAAATGTTACGAAGCTAAGGCAACATAATATGTTTCTCCTGGTATAAATACATGTCACATAGCATTAATAGAGGACGCAACAGATCACTGCCATAATGCCACCACAGAGCGGAAAGAGGAGAGGAGAATGGCTCCCGGCTAGGATGAATCAGACATTACTCCTCATCCAAGAGCCAGGACATAAATCTGCAGATGATGTTGCATAATGAAATACTGTAGAGTGACCCTTAAGGACAGGCCCCGATTTCTGAGGAACTGGAAAAAACCTATTTTAATCCATTTCTAAAATACATGTTCTAACTGACAAAAAATGACTTCTGAAACATAATTTAACCAAACAATGTATAAAAACAGAAGTATGTGGTATGCTAAACCACAAAACACTGAGACACCTTTCAAAACTGTGCAGCCACCTGGCAAAAGTAAGGATAGATGCAAAGCGTTGCAGGTAAAACAATATGCTGCACAGGAGAGAGTCCTAGACCTAGTAGAATCTATGAAAAAGGATTTAGTAGTGTTTTTTGTAGATTTATCAATGGAGTTTTTACCAGACGTTCTGGAGGAATGACGGAAATTAATAAACCCTAGTTTTCTTCTTCCATTTCTTGCAATCACCCATGACATCACTTCCAGAAATGCTATGAAAATCACAGTAATCCTCCACTTCCTTTTGTTCTCCTTTTGCGCCCCTCCTCCACCCCATCTCTGCCTTTATAGCCACCCTCTTGGTTCACTACCCACTCTGTATGGGAGTCCTACCTTCCTCAACCTATGGCCCTCAGTCATTGACCCTCAGTCAAACAGGTTAATAATAATAATTGCTTACACTTATATAGTGCTTTTCTGGATAATCCACTCAAAGCGCTTTACAGGAAGTGGGGATCCCCTCCACCACCACCAACGTGCAGCATCCACCTGGATGGTTTTGGTTAAGCCAAAACTCCTTATGTCTAATTGTTCCAATAACCATTAAGAAGGCTTTTTCTGACTGTCATTATTCATTGTGAGCTACAGAATCATACACACACAGATTCAATTAATTGGGCCTCGTAAGTCTCGAATAACAGAACCAGAAGAGATAAGTGTTAACAGTCCTCAAAGGTGCTGACAGAGTCAGCCCACAGCACAGGCCCAGACCCAACAAGCACAGACTAAGCACTTAGTCGTATCACATGGCCTCAGCTTTCATTTTTACGCTGACGATACTCAAATATACATCCATACCAAACCTGACACTGATGTGGCTATCTCTATTCTATCTAATTGCATCTCTGACATAAAAATTTGGATGATTCAAAACTTCCTTCAGCTTAACTGCGACAAGACTGAAGTCATGTTTATTGGCGCCCCCCCATCAACTTCATAAACCAGTCCTGTAACCCTATCTGTAGATGGTTCTGTACTTGAGCTTCAATCAAAATTGAAAAACCTTGGGGTTATATTCGATTCTGGCTTAACGTTTGACCCACATGTGCAGCATACTGGCAAAACATCTTTTTTTCACCTTAGAAATATCGCTAGACTATGCCCTATGCTATCATTAACTGTGACTGAAA